TGTCGCTCTGTTCAAGCTGTCTGAAACTTCCCCAGATTTTTGGAGCTACCGCTGCATCATTCATCAACAACAGCTGTGCGGCGATATTTTAAATATGAAGCATGTCATGCACGTTGCGATGAAGATCGCTTGCTCTGTTCGGGCCGGGAGTTTTCAGAGGCATTTATTCCGTGCCCAGCTCGAGGAGGCAGGTGCAGACCACCCTGATCTGCTGCTGCACACCGACATCAGGTGGCTGAGCCGTGGCAGATTCCTCGAAAGATTTTTGGAACTTTTGTCCGAAATTAAAGAGTTTCTGAAACAGTCAACAACCCATTCTGCTGTATGTTACATCTTCACATCCACATAGTTTGTACTTAGTATTTTCCTATTTTTATCTGTTTTCCTGTTGAATTTTAATCCATCTGCCAGTTTTTCTGCCAATGCCCAGTGAAGTTTATCATTCTGAAATAGTGGACTTCCCTTCTCCTTCTTCCTGCTTTGAAGTGATCTTAGACAGATTTTATTTGTCATTTTGTTTACACATGTGTAAAACAAAAGGAAATTTAGTTTGGAACAGCTCTCTGGACAATTTTATCTTTTTTAAAAGTGCATCCTTGAAAAGTAGTAAAAAAAAAATATATATATATATATATACACATATATATATATATATATATATATATATATATATATATATATATATATATATATATATATATATATATATATATATATATATAACAGTGATATAAACATATGACTGTAAATTTACAGTTCTAACGTTTTTTTTTCTTTTTTTTTTTCTGGACTGTGTGTGTATCAGTTGTTTTATTTGGATTTTTTGACTGCATAGCCTTTGTGTGGAGATCTTGACTGCTCTTTTCTGTAGTTTTGGTGAGTCTGGTGAGTGAGAGATGGTGTGAAGTTCTTGTAAAATTGTTAAGTTCTGTTTTTGCAACCTATTTTTTGACACAATTGATCATTTCCTCGTTTGTTGGACTTACTGTTTATTCTCCACCTGTGCAAATAAAAATCAAATACTGCCCATCCCTTGTGTTTGGCTTGGTAGATCTCGGCAAGCCATCAACTTCAAAAGTAGACCTTGGTTTAAAAAAGGTTGGCCACCCCTGTACTAGGGATTTCCTGATCAGATAGTGATGTCTGATATCAGCAAAAAAAAAAAGGAATATTGGAATATATCTGCCTGTCTCTAAGATCTCCAATATTAGAAAACCCATAGAAGCACTTTGCTTCTATCTGCTATTTTAGGGTGAATTAGAAATGTCTGTTTTAATACCTGATGCTGTTAAGTATTGTTCTCTGTTTAAGAAATAGTCCTTGTAAAAAGCCTTCTCTATCATTTCACACTATAAATAAGCAATGAAAGTATTTATAATTCATGCTGATTATCGGGTTAATATCTCTATCCTTTTTTTTATAATTATGAGGTCTTCTAGTCTTGATCTCTAGAAGGCATCGTGTCCCTGTGGTGTCTTCAGGGTGATGTGCAGTAACATCTTTGGGGTTTTATTTTGATCTCTCATCAGGCTGTATTCTTGGTTTGTCAAAATGGTTTATAGCAAACTCCTAAATTAGCCACAGCAGGTTTCCTTCATTACTGGATTCTTGCGTGGTGAGCTTGTATAAGACATGGTAGTTGAGCTTATTATCTGGTACTTTCATATAGAAAATCTACCTGTAAATCCAATTTCTTATGATCCTTTGATTGACCCTTGGCTTTTGGAAAGGTCTTCTGATTGATATTTAAACTTCTCACAATTTTAGATGTATTCATGTTGCTGGTTATGAGGAGATTCTCCTGATGTGCATGGTAGACAATTTGAAGATCTGTCCAGGGACAACATATGAAAAATAGCCTTTTGGCTAATTCTGGTGCATTTGCAGGAATGCTTACTAATATATTCTGTCCCTGTCAAATAAATAAATAAATAAATTTAATTATCTTTTAACAATGGGGACCCTGATGCTAAATAAATAAGCTTTTTATGCCTTGTTTGCAATATTTATCCTTTCAGTATTAAGAATTACTCCCATATCCAGTCAAAATGTACCCACCCAAAGAACTTTGATAGTTTTGTTTATTTTCTATTTTTACATTTGTAGAAATTAGAAAAAGATGCGGACATATTTTCTGGTTAAACAGAGGGAATGTTGTTTCTTCTTATTCTGTTGGTTTTAGGACAAACTACTCTCTGTCAGAGAAGCTTCATCAGTTACATGTTTTAGTATTGTATTTTCCTTTATTAAATAGGTTAGAATGGAGAGGAGAGCTTAACAAATGAATCACACTTGTCTTATTGACCTGAAGTGAGATTGTAAAGAAAAGGGTTACCTTTAAACTTTTGTTGTGGTGATTTTTCCTCTATTCTGTTGTACTTTTGTGTCTATATTGATCAATATTTAAATCCTAGTATATCAAATATAATGTTTTTTCTAATGTTCTGCCACAGAAAGCATGAAAAATGTAAAACGTTGTGCTTATTTTATGTATAAGCAGTCATATGCATGAGGATCTGCATGAGATGAATTTTAAATATGTTGACCCTGAGGAGTAAAGTGAAGCAAAACTTCCCAATATGCTTTATAATCTTTATAGAAAAAGACAAAAAAAAGTTTAATTTGCCTTAGGTCCATATTAAATGCATGAACTTTTTTTTGTGTCCTGCAGCCATTTTTATTTATGTTGATGTGTGATTTGAAGTACACTTTAATGTCTCTGATAAGCCTTTGAGCTCATCTTTGCTGAGCAAGCAATAAACTACTGCAGATGAAGCATGATGAGGCTGTTGAAAGTTCAGACTGAGAGAGAGATGAGTCTGTCGCAGCATTATGCTTCTGTGTTTGATGCATAGAGATTATTTTTTTTATTTTCTGGAAGAAACTTGGCAACTTCCTGGAGGTTTGATGACTGCAGCTCTGGCAGCATTATGTTTATCAGTAAAACTGGAGAAAAACACTCCTATCCACTTGGATACAATTTCAATAGAATACCTTTAATACAATTAGTTTATAACATTGGAACTTATTGCTTGATATGTTTAGGGCTGTGAGTAATGATTATTTTGCAAATCTGTTATTATTAGCAAAAGGTTCCTTAAAGGAGACTTTTTATGAAATTAACCAGGTGAAATGAACATTTTTCCACCTGAGGAGTTCTGGATACAGCATATTGACAGATTAAAAAAAATAATTTTTTTACCTTGAATGCTATAATTGCTGCTCTAGGTTGTTCTGTCAGCTAAAGTTACGTTTTAGAGTCTCTATACTCCAGTTAACGATGAAGCAATTACTAAATTAGTTGACGATTATTTCAATAATTGATTAATCATGATTAAAACGATGAATTGTTTCAGTCCTAGGTATGTGTTTGCTGGATTCAGATTTCCTTATTTTTTCCAAATAACTTTGAGGTAATGGGGGGAATTATGTTTATCATAAGCAAATACTACACTGTTGTTTCTGTTTTAGAAAGCCTGCTTTCCTCACTATGATGCTATAAGTTTCCATCCTCGTCTACACATCTCAATCTATTACAATAATTATTTTGACATATTTACAAGCTCCTACTGCCAGTTCATCCCTTCAGTAAGCTCTGTTGCTTTAATGCTGTTGAAGTAATGCAGGCTGCAGAGATAACAGCCTGATCCTTATTGTGGAGAGAACGAAGGAGATCATCGTCGATTTTAGGAAGAACCGGCCTCACCATGCTCCACTGCTCATCAACAGCTCAGCAGTAGAGGTGGTGAGCAGCACCACATTCCTGGGGATGCACATCAGACAACCTTACCTGGACTGTAAGGCATGAAAGCACTTGTACTTCCTGCGGAGGATGAGGGGAGCCCACCTGCCCCCCCATATCCTCAGCACCTTCTACAGAAGCACCATAGAGAGTGTTCTGACCAGCTGTCTCAATGTATGGTGTGGAGGCTGCAGCGCCTCTGACTGGAAGAAGGTGAGAAGAGTGGTGAGAACAGCAGAGAGGATCATTGGGGCTCCTTTTCCTTCCATAAAAGACATTTCATCCCTGCGCTGCGTGTCCTCAGCCCGTTTTGTTTTGGTTTTTTTTGTCTGCACCAACAACACCAAGTCAAATTCCTTGTAAGTGCAAACCTACTTGGCAATAAACTTGATTCTGATTCCGATTCTGATTCTGAACATCATCAATGACCCCATCACCCCCCCACCATGGACTGTTCTCCCTGCTGCCCTCTGGGAAGAGGCTTCGCAGCATTCAATGCAGGCCCAGCTGATTCCAAAACAGCTTCTCCCCCATCGCCATCAGACAGCTGAACTGTTGAAAAAACTCAAAATAATGTCACAGACTCTGCAACGCACTGATAAAACCAAACCTAAACACTGCATAATTGCACCATATATCTATTTAATGCTCTGAACTTCAATATCAATGCGGTTTTTTTCAGTGTTTTTTTTTCTCTCACACTGTTTACATTTGATTGATTTAATCGATTTTGAATCGATTCCTTTACATTTTTGCAAAATCGATGTCTAGGGAATGAGGTCGATTAGTTTTATAGTGACGTGGGTGACGTTCACATTCAAATGAGCAGGAAAGATGCACTCAGGCTTACTTCAAGACAGACAGCTGCAAATATAGCCAATAGGTTGACTGAAGACTTTTTCACTTTTCACCAACAAGTTTGAGACATTTTTGGTCACATCTCAAGTTTAAACTGTCTGATTTACAAGTTTTCACTTTGTGTTTAATGTGACAGGGAAAATTAAAAGACATGAGTATTTGAAACACAATTGAACCACTTTCATTATTCTAAAAACAGATTGAATCGAAATTAATCGATTTAGAATTGTATGGAATCAATTCAGGACTTTGGCGATAATACCCAGCCCTAGTATACACTCTGTTTTGTATACAACAAAAGTTGTCAAAGTTTAAGTCAGAAATGTTTTTCTTCTACTTCGCCTGCTACGTTACCACCTTTCCAATCAGAGTAATGTCTCCACCATTTATTCTCTTTCAGGGGTCCCAAGGGTGTGTGGACTCTAGAAGAAAAGGGTGAGTCCCCTCACTTTGACACCACATTTGAAGATGCCCGCCCTAGTTTGACTCACATGGCCCTCCTGGGACTGCAGAGGGCAGGATACCTGAAATATCTCATCAGCCAGAATGTCGACGGGTTGCATGTTCGATCAGGTTTCCCCAGGTAATGCTTGCCCGGTTTTTGGTGCTATAGATGTGTGCTTCTCAGATCCCCTGTGTAACATTTAGGGTTATTTTAATACCTAAGGTGTTGTGTAAAAAACTTGTTTTCTCCCCAGTGGGCCTGATCTTCAAAAGGTTTGCATGTATAAAAATGCATACATACCTTATTGCAAACACAAAGCTATTCTGTGAGGCATTTGAGCAGATCATTATGTTTAAATGAGTGTAACAGCAGGCACCATTTAGGGAGTTTGGGTTCATGAATATACAGAACTTGTGCAGACCCTAAGAGCGCACAAATGACTATGAGGAGGTTATGTAGATGTAAGAAATGGCCACAAAGCGATTTATTAAACCTGAAAACGACTGCGAGTGCAGTTTCTAGGACTATATTCAGCACAGGCGCAAACTGGCATGCAAAAATCTTTACAGACATTGTCACAAGAAGGAGGCGCTGTTAAAGTGGCACACAAGAGTAGTTGTTTGCGTACTTGAACACACTTGGACTATCAGAAATAACAATAGTGAGATAATAGTAAAATAAAAGGACAGCAATAACCTGGCATAAGCCAGATTGATCCGTATGGTTCAGTTTGAGTTCTACACGTTATCCATCTGAAAAGGCTCCTGTAGCAAGTGTTTGCAAAATGGAGGGACAATTCCTGCAAGTGGCACATGCCTCCATGTCAGGCTTTTAGCCAATGAAAGCAGCAATAGCAGATATGAGGTACAAACGAAACACATTCTGGATTTGTTTTACAAAAAGCAGAGTTAACTGATATATCAAATTTACCAGATTGTGTAAGGAGGAACTCGCCAGCTTGATCCAGAAGCCTTCTCTTAGCCCGGTAGGCTTTTCATTATGGGATCTGGTTGAGTAAATAAGTCCCAGCTCCCCAAATAGAGTACTTTTAGAAAACATCAATCTGTGTCAGGTTAAAAAAAATGGCAAAAATAAGCAGGGATATTCTGGTAATGTTTAGTACAGAAGATTAAATGCTATGCTGCAGAAGCTATTCTATGAATTTGTATGAGGGTATGCAGCCAAAATCACAACAGGACACATAGAAAAAGGAAGACATTCTGTTGTTGTTTATAATTGTCCAGCAGTCAGTTTCAATCCCCTTTGAAAGCTTTTGAAGTAAGATAGATGTTCATATGCCCGAGGGAAATCTCCCAACCTTAAGTAGTTTTAACATCCAGAGACTATTTGTGCTTTTGGCCTGAAGTGTCTCTTATGTTTTTGTAGTTAGACCGTTGGTGTTATGAGTGTTTAAACAGCTGGAGTAGAAAATGTAATGAATAACTGTTAAATAGACTTTGGGCTTTGACTCATTGTTTTAATCTGAGGCAGCTGCTGCTGTTTTGTAATACCAGCTGCCGCAGCATCACAGCTTTGTTAATTTGAAATCAATTCTCGGTGTCACTGAGAGTGTGTGGTCTGCTTAAGTATTACTCAGTCATATTGAATTGAGCCCAGGGCTGAAAGTCCAATTTTTTATTCTGTTCCCACATCCAGCCTTTCCGCATATTGGAGGACTTGCTTTTCCTGGAAAACATTTACATAGCTCTTCCTCCACCCTCAATCAGGCTTTTTGAAATGAGGTCAGACAGTGAAGGAGAAGTTCTCAGAGGAAATCACCGAAACGGCAGACGGACTGTTAGAGTAAACTGGTCCCGATTAATCTGCAGTCGTACCTGGTGAAGCAAGACAAGACGTAAGCTTAGGGAATCACAGAACTGTAAAAGAAGGTTCTAGGGAATCCACAGAGTTAATTTAGCTTTAGGTTTCATGTAAATGATTACTTTTTTTTTGTATTTTCCCTCTGTTGTGAACTTATCTTCCTCTTCCTCTAGGGATAAACTATCAGAGCTTCATGGAAACATGTTTGTGGAGGAATGCGAGAAGTGTGGAAGGTACGTGCATGGCCCCTCACAAGCCCGCAGCAGTTACCATTTGATCATTAAGCTTATTTTAAAGCATATCGTGGGAAAAGTAGGGTTTCTGCAAGGTCTTAAAACATCAATGAAAGGATGAAATTAATTTATCTGTATTTTAAACTTTCAAAACTGTTTTGAAAACTCAGATTTTCCTAACTTGGTTTTAAATTCCATCCTGTTTTTAAATTCATTTCCTCTGACAGTTTTTTTTTAAATAAATAAACAGAGGCATCTGTTTGTTCTATTATTTCTTGCTGTCTGTAGAATTAAAGTGTAAATGCATTTGGACAAAACTACAAATGCCGTAGTGAAGCAATAAGGCCTGTCAAAAAAGAATATATTCAAAGACATTCAGCACTGCAGACTTTTATCAAGCTTCTAAAATCACTAATGCAAGTTATTCTCATGTTTTCTCTGTTAGTCATGGGAAAGTGACTTTGCTTCAAACCAGGGTTTTTAATAGTCGTCAGTAAGCTTATTATTTAGTGTGGAAAGTATGCATGGACTGGTATGAGATTCTCAAAGTATGATAACCTGTCAAAGAGATACAGCAGTTAAATTTGATCATGGTATTCGTACAATTTAAATAAAACGGAAGGAGACGACATGGTCTAATTGCTCCTATTCTAAAAGACAAAGCTGCTGTTTTTCTTTCCCGTAGATTTAATCCCAAACCATTTAGTTTGCACAATTTTAGAAAAGCATGTAGTTGTGATATTGTTGCTGTGGCCAAGATGATGTATGCCCTATCCACATTGATCTGTTTCCTTCCAACTCTTGATTTCTTTGTTTCCCCCTATTTTTTATACTATATATCCCATGTTGGCATGTGATCAAAGTCCATCCAACAGGCCTCATAATTTACTGCCGTGCAGAGCAACACGACTCTAAATAAACTGATGTGAGCTGCTTCTATAGATCAGATTAGCTGCCAACGTAGCTATCCTACAGTCCATGTTGCTCCAAGCTTAATGATTTCAGTTTAAAAATATTATTATGTAAATAAGAGTAATAACCTAGCCACATAGTATGACTCAAACAAATGAAGAAAAAACACATTTATCTTGGCTTAAAGCAATGTATGACAAGTTTTTATCCTAACCATTGCATGGTGTTCATATAGTTGTTACTCAGCCAATGTTTGTGGGTCTGTTGCATTTTGTGGTTTTTAATGCCTCACGATCAAACACTTTTATGGAAATATACTGAACAGATGTTTACTTCATTCCAATTTCAAGTTGTATAAACAAAGTATATGATTAATATTGTCCTTTATCTTTATTAGATAACATTTATTTAGGGCTGAAACAATTGTGATTAATCGATTATTGAAATAATTGTTAACTAATTTAGTAATTGATTAATCATTAAATGGAGTATAGAGACTCCAAAGGTGCCTGTAGCTGACAGAGTGACCACTTAGAGCAGTAATTATATCAACATTGTAAAAAAAAAAAATAAGTAAACATTTAGCATTTATCATAAAAAAATGTTTTTCGTTTGTCAATATGATCTATCCAGAACTCCTGAAGTGGGAAGGTTTCACGGGGATTCATTCTGTATAAAAATCTTCTTTAAGGAACCTTTGGCTTTCTGATTATTAATAAAAAAAATAACCGACAGATTAAGCGTTTTGCAAAATAGTCGTTAGTTGCAGTCGGCCTTTTTTAAGCTTGATAATCTAATTTTCATATTTTTGTAAGCCGTTTACCGGCAGCTTGTATACCACAATGGAAACCAAAATAAAGGTCAATATTGTAGGGATTAAATACCGATTAAACGTTTGCATCACTATTACTAAAGGGCTTAAGAATAACATTGCTGTACTGCTTTCAGTAATAGTAATGCTGTGTATTCAGTGATCAGCATGGTCAGTGAAATCTGATTTTTTTGTTTTTTTGTTTAGTGTCTTGTTTTTTTTTATCCTCCTTTTTCAGTGAACAGAAATGTTCATATTTTATTCCAAGTGTTGCACGTGTTTCACCCCTCTTAAACCATTTTTTCCATTGCTTCAATACATGGAATACATGACAGCGGTGCTTTAAGTTGTCAAAAATTGTATTTCTCTTGTGACAAAATTGTGGTTGAAATGATTTCTGTACGTCAGCAGCACTTTTAAAAATCACCAAGTGTTATAACTAGCAGGGTAACATAAGGCTGTACCTGAAAATAGGCTCCCTCCCAGAGGAGCACTCAGGGTTTGGAGTTGCAAGCATTACCCCCCCCCCCCATACAGCCAGAAGAAAAAAACGAAACCCAGAGCTAAAAGAAAACTATCAGCCTTCATCTCTGTGGCATTTGAGTATGAAGCATTTCAGACATTTCATGAACACCTCAGGAATCTGTGTTCGCTTCTTACTTGAAATTCCTCAGTTATAGAAGCAGCCACTCTGTGGCCGCAGCATAATCCATAAAGCATGCAGACAAAGACGCTCATTGACTATCCTCAGACATCAGCTCGCAGAAAGTCTTTGTGTTCCTGCACATCACCATCACTGGTGTCTGCATTTCTGCCATCTGACTGCGAGGGTTCAGGTTTTGTGTTGGGTTAAACTCAGTAATGTTCCTCCTTTTCCTTGAAGGTAAAACATACCTATTAATATTCAAGTAAATGCCAAACGGTTGGAAGCTCAAAGAGCCTATAAGGGTAGATCCTGCAGCAGACTGAGAATAGGAGTGAAAAACAGAAGCTCCAGTCAACATCAAAAGTTTCATTCCCTTCTCACACCAGACATATAATTAATTATTAATAAATTTGCATTAATTTCTTATATTATTGTGTCCTTATATCCTTTGCTAAACAATATCCCCTCTTTCATGTCATTTTTTGTCTTCCAATGTTCCCATGAAAAAAAAGCAGCTTATTTCCCCTCAGTCAGTAGGTAACCTTAGGAATAACCTAGAAAAGCAATGCTTTTGATGTTCAAACAGTATTTCAGCCACAAAATGTAAAAAAAAAAAAGTTCCAAACCTTTCAGAGCGTTTGTTAATTCTTCTTCTGACTGATAAATTGATGAAATTTGTGCAAGTGAGGGTTATAGGGGCATCACAGCGATGACTCTCAACTGCTTGTTTTTTTTTCTCCTGAAAGTAGAGCAAATGGAGGTGGATGCATTCAAGTGTTAAACTTTAGGGATTTGCTGTTTTCCAGGCAGTACGTGAGGGAAAAGGTGATCGGTGTGATGGGGCTGAAACCAACAGGACGTTACTGTGAGGTGGTGCGGTCCAGAGGGCTGAGGGCCTGCAGGTAAAAAAACACGCACCGTGCATTTAAAAGGAAAAAGAAAAACCGCTTAACATGACCTATTTATCAGTGTTTTTACTTATTTCTAATCCCTAAAGAGGAAAGCTGATCAGCACTATTTTGGATTGGGAGGATGCTCTTCCTGACAGAGACCTGAACAGAGCAGATGATGCAAGCAGGTGAGACGAACATAAATCATTGTTTCATCACCTGTCTTTATCACTGAGTAACACACAGATCCTTCACTTTACGAGCCTTGTTTCCTTCAACATGCCCGTTTCATCTGACGCCCAAAAGGTATAAATGCTGCTTCAGACATCTGCTAGGAAGTCAAAAAAAAAATTCAGACAAGGTGTTGGGATTGATTCGTCTGAAGCCTCTGGAACTTCAGCACCACTATCCTGAAGGGTTTGTTTGAAAGCATTTTTCAGGCTTTATGTATTTCATCTCAGTCAGCTTTAATGTCCTCCGCAGAACATTTTCATTCATTCCTTCAGCCATAAAAGCTTTTATCGTGTTTTCAAAGCTGCAAGAGGAAAAGGATGCACGAATGTCTCCTCGATCTATTGAATCACAATAGACTCATAATTACAATCTAAATTGCAGAGAGAGGATTTAGAGCAATGACATTTGAACTCTGAATTGTTTGTTCGTGCCAGTGAAAAAAATTGTAAAAATATAAGTGAGCCATTTAAAGTTGATTTATTGTTGAGCTGTCAGGCTTTAGATGTTCGAGGGTGTATGTGATGAGACCTAACCTCTACCAACTAACTGTTTTTTTTTCTTTTGTCCAAGTTTGTTATTTTGAAGAATGTGCAAATTGTTGTAGAAACCAGAGCTGCATCCAGCATGGTGTTTTGTAAGAACCTGACAGGGATTAGTTGCATTAGCCCTATTTTAGTCGCAGTGGTACAGAGAAGAGGATTGCGGTGAACACAAGCTGTCGTTAAGGTGGTGTGTTACTGGAGTGTTATTCGCAAACCGAATGTTTTCCTAATACAACCCGTTTTCAAAAAGTTACCCAAGAATTTCTGAACAGCATGAATAAAAGATGGTAAAAAAATTCTAGGGTGACAGCCGTAGAATAATAAATGAGGCAAAAAATGATGCTTACAAACCCTGAACATTTTTTTTTTTTTTTTGCGGCACAATGCTATGCAAATGGGGTTTTTTTTTTAAAACCTACTTACCAGATACACACAACACAGTAGGGCTCCTCAATACCAGCCGTCGAGGTTCAGAGTCCTGCATTAAAGGTATGTCTCTGCTTCCACACCTGAATCAAATGACTGAATTACCTCCTCAGTTGGGAGTCAAGTTCTCAAGAGTCCTGCTAATAGCCTGATTCTCTGACTCAGCTGTGGTGAAGTAGAGACACATCTGAAAGGTGCAGGGCACCTGACCTTGAGGACTGGTATTGAGGAACCCTGCTATACAGCCTTAAACATTTCATTGGCTGCCTTACATTGACCCCATTTTTTATCCCTTAGAATACAAATGCGGCTTTGAATCCTCAGGGTTTAGGAATCTATCGATGGGAAAGGCTGAATGTTCTTCCAGAGGCACACTTATGAGGTCAGACACTGATGTGGGATGAAAAGTTCTGACTTATGCAGTGGGGACAAAAAAGTATTTAGTGGTGTCATTTATACAGAAAAGGGTTCAAACAGATGCCAATAATACAGGTAACTAGTGGAGGACAGAAGACCTTCTTAAAGAAGAGGCTGTAGGTCTGTGAGAGCCAGAAATCTTGCTGGTTTGTGGGTGTCCAAATACTTATTTTCCATCAAAATTTACAAATAAATTCTTTAAAAATCATATCCAGACCAGACATGTTCTTGTACACCAAAATGGCTCATCCATATTTTTAAAGAACAAACTGTTATGATAGAGTCAGAAGTTCATGAGCTAAATGCTGCATGAAATTTAGTTTAATCTCAATGTGGAATTCCCTGAGCTCCTGTTATTAATATGTTCTTTCAGTGATGCTTGCAGAAGTAGTCTGAATTTCTAGATGCCTGTTTTTTTTTTTTTTTGAGTCCAGGCATATAAGTAATTATTTATTACTTATATGCCTAATTATAAATTACTAATTATTTTGGCAATTAATTGTAAATCCCATTTTAGAGAAGTACACTGAGCTGCTGACATCCCAGAGTCTAGAATCAGTTCATGATGCTGCAAAGCATGTGTGACATTGTGCATATGATGTTACACAGTTTGCTGTGTTCCGCTGGCTGATCTCTCCTTTATTACCTGCTATATGACACAGTTTTAATGGGAATATCCCCAATTTCATGTTAAATGAACCGGACTCAAAATCACAAATATGGACATTAGCTAAATTTGTAGCAGTTTTTCTCTTTAAAAGTCATTCTAGATGACTACGCATTGACAAGCGTTGAGAAAGCAAACGAAAGCATAAGCCACTGATCACTATGTATTAAAATTCAGTTTAACCAAGAAAACCAAGACTCCTTTAGCAAATTATACAGGAGACGTCAAAGAGTTGCCTTTTAAAACATCCCAATCTTTTTTTGTATTTAATGTTCAGTCTAAAGAGTGGACAGTTAATTACAGAGAGGCTACTCTGTATGCTTAAAGTGCTGAAGACGTCTAAAAGTTTCCCTTTTCTTAACTTTCTTTGTTCTTTTTTTCAGTGTCCTTTCTGTCAAGTACTTTGCCCAGAACTTTATTTTTTTCAGCTTAAATCTGCCATAGTTTTTAAGCTGCTTTGTTAGATTAAGACAAAGTAAGCCTTCTACCGAGCTGATAATTCAGAGAAACCAAATGGAGGAAAATGATCTTAGAAATGTAGCCCACCTTTAAAGAAAATCCTGTTTAACCTTTGCTGAACTGAGAGTCAACACCAGCAAAGGTGTGGAAGCATTCTGAGGCCTGATGTGGCATTTGAGTGGACTTTCTACCCTGACATTTGAAATTATCAATCTGTAAATTTCTCTAAAAATATGATAGACATGTTTGTTGTATGAGATAAATGGCAGCTGCACCAGTGACTCAGCATTTGCATTTAGTCCTTAGGTAAACTTAAATTATGTTCTGGAAAGCTTTGCACTGCGTTCTTTATGCTTTTTAAAGCCAGAATATGGCTGAAAAGGGCTCATTTTAAAACAACTTCCTGTTTGTTTGTTTTTTTTTTTTTTTTTTTTTTTTTTTGTTGACTTAAATAATCAAAAGACGGCAACTCTGGAAACAAACAAATGTAATTCTGATTAAAAAAGAAGGAAAAAAGCTACAAATAAAACTTCTTTCAGGTTGTCTGGAATACAAAACATCAGAAAATGTGCCTTGATGTGCTTTTGGTTTAATGTAAAAATAATAGCTATAATAATTCCAGATGATTTGTAGTTAGAAATTGGAAAGAAAAGCAGGTTAAGTTGAGCTACTTTGAGTACAGAAAATGTAGAAAAGCTCAACATCAGACGATGGTATTTCTTCCACTCTAAGCTCCCTTCAGACCTTTTCTTCAAATCACATATATTCACTAAATGAGATATTTTCAAACCAGCCCCAAGGAATGAATGATCCAACAGCAGCTTATAAGCCTGAAACTCCCTGCTGGTCAGCTGGAACTACAGACGCGTGGGATAAGAGCTAAATAAGAATCTTAGGAATCAAAAGTCCAGCTACGTTTTGTTAAGGTTTAGTTTTATCTGCAGGAACTCTGTGCTGTTTAACTGCTCACGAAAAAATCAAGTGAAAATGTCTAAAAGTTCACATTGCATGGTAAACCTTTATCTCTGCTATATGTACTTTATTTATTGTGAACATTTCAGAAACATGTTTAATATCATTATTTTTGCAATTAAACAAATTTTAATCGAATCCCCCGCGATGCTTGCCAAATATTTCCCATTTGCTGTTTTCCACCCTGACTTTCATACACGCCCACATGCAGGAATTACCCTTGAGGACTAACAGGCTAATCAGAAGAATGTCAAATAGTCACATCTGCTTATTTTGCCTGAGTTTTATCCCTTGTGTTGGCACGCAGACGAGCAGACCTGGCTCTGACTCTGGGCACGTCCATGCAGATCAAACCCAGTGGGGACCTTCCTCTCCTCACAAAGCGCAAAGGAGGGAAAGTGGTTATACTCAACCTGCAGCCAACCAAACATGTGAGTCTCATCATCACGCCACGACACATCTAGACTTAATCCAGAGCTCAGCAGAAGGAATATACAGATTCTTCTGTAGAAACTCCATGGCTTCATCTTAGCAACTGTTCTTCCTTGTGCTGCTTAAATAATTAATAATATTTTGATCTGAAACATTTTTTTTATTTTGATGCCTGTGCAAAAGCAACATAAATAGAAGTGAAAAAGGCTAAAGGCTATTGTAGTTTTAAGTGCTTCGAATAACAATTCTGTCTTTTTGCTCTTTCCAGACTAACAATGAGAGAATAAAAGCTTTATACCAGCTGGTTAGTCAGTCAGACCATCTGCTGGTAGAGCCTACAGTTGGTTGCCTGCCAGCTAGTGTTTCAAAGCAGCTTTTTTTCTGTAACCAACAAAGAGGGTTTCATTTAATTTAGTTTGACAGGTTCAGTCTCAGTCCGGGTTTTAGAGATCCGGTGTACTCTGAGATGTTTAAAAAAAAAAAAAAAAAGATCAAACACCCATCAAGTGCCACAGCATTAGGACTCAATATTCTGCGTCCTTTGTAATGAAATTGAACAATTAAAATACAATATTTTAGGTAGTTTTTATTCATTTGTTTTTCTGAAGCAGACCCAGGGAGTTTGGGAGGTAAATAGAGAACCTATTTTGGATTACCTCAGTTTCTGTTAAAGACTCAAACGTTGAATTTTTCATTCCCTCATCATACTCTGACTAATAGCACTGCTCAGGTTTTGTAATTACAAAGAGAAAACATTTCATTAGGTGAACGGTTACAGTGGAGGCCATTATTTGAGGGATAATTATAATTTTCAGGTCTGTTCACTGCAATCAGACTCAAACAGGGATCTCTGACATAAACAGAACATTAGGCAAGGATCCAAAGGCTTTTTCTTTTATTTATTTTACAAATGAAAATAACTAATAGAACTGGTCCACAGATTGTCTTTCAGACTAAAATGTTAAGCTTATAAACACCGACTGCTGTGTGCCCAACTATTCACACCATATTATAGCATAACAATGGCGAATATATTTTAGGTAACAGACCAGCACAAAGAAACAAGTTGTTTAGTAGTATAAAGAAAAATGTCTTTTATAGGCACCTGATTGATAAGTAAAGTGCAACTTTATATCAGTTAATTTCAGTATAAAGGCAGCTGATCTGAGGGTTTGTTTGGATAAATGTGGTGAACAAGGAGCATCAAAACCAAGAAACATAAACCTACATCCTAAGCCTTGAAAATCTAGAAAAGACATTTGTTTAGAAAAGGGAAACCAATGCTATAAAGCTACTACGGTAATACATGGCTGTCCACCTTAACTGAAAGGTTTCTGATCACAGAAGCACTCTGAACAGGACAGCCATTAGTCTTGCAATGTAAAACTGTGGCCTTTAGGGAAAATCAAAAGTTACATTAATTCCCTAAAGAAGAAGCAAGAAATGTGCAAAAAAAAAAAAAATAATTAAGCTACAGTGCATTATACGTTTAACAAGAACTCATCCGTGCTTTAAGATCACATTGTCAATATTTATTTAATATTCTCCATCCATCTGTTTTCCGTCACGCAACCCAAGCAGGGTTGCTGGTGCCTATTTACAGCTGGGCGAGGGGCGGGTCCACTCTGGACAGGTCGCCAGTCCATCGTAGGGCAACACAGAGACAAACAGGAAAAACAACCATTCACACACACACACACATCTATGGAGAATTTAGAGAAGGTAATTACCCTAACAGTCATGTTTTTGGACTGTGGGACAAAGCCGGAGTACCCGGAGAGAACCCCTGCATGCTCAGGGAGACTGGAAACCTTCTTGCTGCAAGGCAGCAGTGCTACCCACTGCTCCACTGAGCAGCTGACAAATGTTTCTGTTTTGTTTAAATTTAGACTTGTGTAACATTTCTTATCAATGTAGTTTTTTTCCTGTAAATGGAAGAAAAAAAAACGTTATCAGTCTCAAAATATCAGCAGCACAAATCGGGGATTGGTTAGACTGATGTCAACATAATTTGCTTTATATAAAACATACATATAACTATTGTTAATCCTTGGCTGCAACTAGTTGGAAGGAAGGAAAAACTTGAGACTAGAGCAGAAAATCTCCTTTCAGCCTGAGCTACATTGGAACTGAGCTAAAACAATCCAGACCTAAATACAATATTATTTAATAATATAAAGCATTTAACAGCTTTATTAAATGTTGGACAAAAGGGAAGAATAGTTAAAATACATCAGAAAATTACAATTTGGAACAAATTAGAACAATTGAAGGAGAAACTATTGATTTATTTAAAAGTAGCAACATACAATACATAAAAATGCCAATTTTGTCATAAATATCAACAAAAAGTCTTAGTTTATCTTAGTCTAGTCTGTAGATGTATTAACCTGGTAGAGACATCCTCAGGGTTTTACCTTATAAATGCAGCAAAAGAAATTTCTAAAAATAATAAACAGACAAGCCTGAAAACAAGGCAGTACCTAAATAAATAAATCAATAAAGAAATACAGGAAAATTATGGGTCCTTTTCCTTCTGATTCACAATTATCTGCTACGAAGTGTTGGTATGTCTTAACAACATGTATTGAGGATTTTGATCGTAGCATGACGAAAAGCAGGATCCCCATCCTCTCTCATTTGATTGTCTGTTTTGCAGGACAAACACGCCCACCTACGTATCAACAGTTATGTGGACGATGTCATGAAGCAGCTGATGGAGCTGCTTGATTTAGAAATTCCAAAATGGGAGGGACCAACCATCTGTGAGAGCTCTGCCCCGTCTGACACCAGTGCTGACGTTAAGCCCCCTCACAACGTTTCTGCAAAGGCCGAGGTGAAAAGGGACATCATCAAGCAGGAGAGGAAAAGAGAAGCGACAGAGCTAGTAGAGGATGGGAGTGCAAAAGAGGAGACTATTTCAATAAAGAAAGAGCGAGCAGATTTAACCGTGGAGACCGAGGAGAAATAACCTCAGGATTTCTTTATTTTACTTTTCTTTTTTAGCTCAGGACACGTAAAAAAAAAGCCCAAACCTGTCTAGAAACGTCTTCTTCAGGTGAAAGTTTGATCAAGCTACAGAAAGAACAGAAGTCTGTCTTAGTATGTGCCATCTAGCAGGAAAATACTCGTTATTCTGGCTTGATGATGAAACCGTCCTTTTGCTGCTGTAAAGTCATAATACCTCACTGATACATGCTTATTTGGTAGTGTTTCTCCTAACAGGAACATACCAAAATGTATACTTCATCCAACTCCGAGCCTGATATCTCCGGATGAACAATCTAACAGGACAGTACAACAAGATGAGATCTGGAGCATGTCGTTACGTATAAAGTTTTTAATAAGGTGTGTAAGTTTGCTGCACCTTATTAATATTTATAGCATGTGCTCCAGATCTCGTCCCTGCAGATCTTGCCTTTTAAGTCTCCTTGGTTTGATACATTATGAAAAGGAATATCAAGCGAGCTGCTTCTCCAAGTCTGGCTGACTTATACGCTACAGTGAAAACATACAGCAGCGGCGAGAGGTGGGGTGGGCTGGGATTTTAGGTCAGGTTTGGTTTTTGAACCACGATTGAATCATAATCATCCTGTATGTTTCTAGGAATGAGGTTTGAATGTAGAAAAGACAGTTCTACTTTCTAGGAAAAAAAGGTTTCTTTATAGATTGTTGTTTATCCAAATTTTATTTTTTTTTACACTGAATGCTTTATATCTGTAAACATGTTTAGAGAGTAAAAACCATAAAGTTTGTCTAAACTTCTGTTGCCTGCCGCTTTGCTTGTTGCAGATTAAAGTGAGATATTTTCATTTAGTGGATAAATGTTCTTGGCCTCTAAAACCTTTAGGAGAAAAACAACACAAAGCTTTGCAGACTTAGTTCCAGCACCACACAGAATTTGACAGCTTTATAAAAACCTTAACTCTGGATTAAAAGGAAGAGGTCTTTGCAGACATTTTTGTCTATTTAAAAAGATGGAGACTCTGTTTCTTTTTGAATTTGTCTGAGATGCATTTCTTCAATCATGAACCTCTGCTGAAAAAGTGTACTTCAATTTAAAAATACTTTTTCAATCCCAAGGGGAAATTAAATGTTGCAGTAACTCGTACATCATTTTTTAAACACCTATAATCAGACTATTAACAGAAACACCAGAGACTAGCATCATGTTTTTTTTTTATTAAAGTAATTCTAAATTTGTATACTTTATTCTTTCAGGGCTGCATCCCAGTTTGTCCTATCTGTATCAGTAAATGGGATGGGCTGATCAGATTGATAATCTTTTTTTTTTTCTTCCAGGTGTGACAATGGTCAGATCTTTAAATTCTAGTCTTGTCTTTAAAACACTTTTTCCGAGAGAACATTTGCACTGCAAAAATAATCTAGAAATCAGTAAAAATTTCTTCATGGTATAGTGGAGGATGTTCTTTTTCCTGCTGGATCATCAAAATAATTGGTCCTCTTGAGTTGTCGAGCATTCTGGTGCATATGTTTACTTACGTAAGGCCGCCCACGTGCTCGTCCCCATTTTCACTTAACGGTGGTGAGTCTGACATAGTGGAAAAATTGCAAATCTTTTTTGCACGAAGAGAAATGGGCTTGTGCATGCTCTAGCATGCCTTCCCGGGTACAGGGTGGTGCATATGCATTTTTTTTAGGCGGAGGGGGTAGGTCTTTTCAAAATTTCATGAAAATCCTCCACTATACCATAAGTGTATTTAGCTTTAATCTAAGCAATCTGAAAATAAGATAATTAGGTAATATGCACTTGAAATAAGACAATGCAATTGTATTCTTCTTATTTTAAATGTAAATTGTCTTGTTCCATTGACAAAGTGTCAGAATTGCCTCCTCAATTTAAGAGGAAAAATGCACTAATTTTAAGAAAAAAATAGTTATTGAGATTTCAAATTTTTGCAGTGTGCAAACAGGAATTTGGCTTCTCTGGTTTTAAAGCAATTGCTCCTTTTTCTCCGAGTGGTTTTTGAGACGATGTCTGTCCAGAATATGTTTCTCTGTTAATCTTCATTCTTTTGCATTTTTCCTGGGGTTTATTCACACATTGCGCATAAAAATATAGTTTATCTGTTGGAGACAGTACCATTCTCCTTTAAAAACAGTATGATCTCTCCATGATGTGTCTATACTTTCTTGGTTGTTAAAACAGTAGAATTAGGAACTTCAAGCATGAGAAAATTGGACATAAGGATGAAGTTAAGTTAGCTCAGATATGCATGGGTATTACTTCCTCAGAATAACACAATGATGGAGCAAGAAGATAAGTCAGACATATTTTAAGGACATGTATATCTGCACACGTTTAAATTGCTTCATGAAAAATGTTTTTTAGATTTTATAATTGATTACAAAACTCCACTATTTCCAGAACTTAAGGCGGCTCTTTTGTTTCCTGTCTTTCATTACTGGATTAAGTGATTAATCCAGGTGTGTCTGGCCTTGGTTACCGAGGTCAGGCAACCCTGGATTATTCAGTTCATCCAGTAGAAAAAAAGTTGAAATTCATCCAGTTGGAATTCATAGATAACAAAAAATAAAATTCATAAATACATAAAATTATTTATTAGACATGCATAAAGTAGCATAAAGTAGGAACGAATGCCACAGCTTTTTTCATTTCCTTTCCAAGCCTTCAGTTATACCCTGTAGTTGTTCCACTTTCAGATTAGCCAACAATGCATCACCCTCTGCCCATTAGAAGGTGGTACAGACTTCTTCCATTTAAGCAGGATAGACCGCCATGCCAGAACTGTGACGAAAACCCACTGCTATGGTTGAATGGCTTTAAAACCATAAATGGACCAGCAATGGATCCACCAAGCTGATTATATTGTTAAAAGGACAAAAGTTAAATATACAGTTCTCCGGAAAAGCCTGAATAGAATCTAGTAATAATGACACATTTGGCTCCTTACAGGCTAAATTAGATGCAGATAAGGGGAGTTTAAGACTTTTGCACAGTAATGTAAGTTGATGCTGATGTGGGTTTATATGCATTAAGACTGTTACTGTGACCAATGTTACAGCTTCATCAACTCAGAGCAAAGAACCTAATGTGGACAGGATGCGCTCCACAACCACATAAAGGTTTTAACGCTCATCTACACATGAACTAGTTCCCGCGTCTGCTCTGTCGCTTTCTTTCTGGAATTCTGAGACACTTCTTGTTCTTGGTGATAGCTATGTTGTTTCTTATGACTATTAAAGAGAAACCAGAACAGCAGATATTGAACAGAGCTCAACAGTTTAATTTGTTACAGTATAAAATTTTAATTATAAATACCTTCCTTTGTCATTTTCTGTATTATTCAGGACTAGTTATGTGCACAATGGAAGCCATGCAAACCTTTTCCTTCAGCTTGTCAGCCTGACCTGTTGTGCAGAAAATAACCTCCACTACATTTCTGCATGAAGGACTTTCAGCTTATTCAGCCTTTCAGGGAAGATTAAACTTGCTGGGTTTCCTCACATGAACCTCTTGCTTTAAATCCTTCAACAGCATCACTTCTCAGTGACAGCCTCACAAACACCGACATTAGCCGATATAAACCAGAACTTTAGTTTTTTCTAGAAGTTGCGCTGAGTTCAAAGACTTGCTGTTAGAGACAAGTTTAAATGTGCATTTCCTTTTTTTTTCTTTCTTTTTTTTTTTTGCAGATCGATGCACGAGACTCATTAGTGGAGGATTTATTATGTTTTCCACAATAATGAGGATCAATAACTCAGAATCACGCAAATGATTACATCCAATGTTTCTTTTTTCCTCTGGGTTGCAGAAATATGCTCATTTTTTGGAAGAAATCCTTCATATATTCTACAAAATAATGTCACTAAAGCAGTTCTCCCCATTTGCCTTTTGAATGTAAGAGAGTAAACAAACGAGTTAGTTTACTTTTACAGTGACATGATAAAATATTTTTGTTGAAAACTTTAACACTTGCATTGTGTTTGTGATTTAAACCAACTGTAATCTTTATTTACATCACATGTGCCCTCAAGCCTTCTTCAAACAGTCAGGCTATCCAGAAAGAGCAACCGTGCTGCTGGGTGGTTTAGTATTCAGTTTTGCACTAGACAGCGACCAGAGACCACGAAGGTGAGAGCAAGCCGCTGGCAGATTAAGTCAAAGTAATCTTTTAATTCAGCATGCACGTCCCCCCTTTAGTGTAACTTAATTTATCAAGAGGTCCAGCCAGAAACATGGAATTTGGAAAATAATTTGTGAAGGAAGCAAAAGATTAGGGTGATGGCAAGTAGGACTTTTTAAAGTTAAAGGTTTAGACATTATTGGAAAAGATGAATAGTCAAATTAAAAACATGAAACAAAAATGTCCAAATTGATGCTTCTGTTATTATGTTCTGTTATTTCAAGAGATGACTGTCTCATTTCCTGTCAGAAACAAACTTATTGGTTGATTTGAATTTGTTTTGAATATTAAATTAAACATTTAAATAGTAAAAGCATTGGTTGTAATTGCATCTATGTTTAAAATAAAGGACCGTTTTTCAGTTAAAACAACCATGAAAAACAGACTGGAATTTACTAAATTTATGTTTACTAAAGAAATGAAAACTGAAGTCTATAAGTCATGCAAAAATAAAGTTCCATCTGACATACCTATAACGAAGCCTGGAGGAGCTTGCTTTTATTTTGGGTGATTCTAACTTCAGCTTGAATGCCGTAACATGGCTCATCTATCAGCTTTCACATGCTAAAGGATAATTTGTGGTTGTTTTAATCAAAAAATCAATTCAAGTTTAAAAAACACTTTATTAATCCAAAAGGTTTATTAACTGTTTGAGTAACTTGTAGTTTTTTTTAACCAGTTGTTGGTGTTGATATCTGTAGGAAGAAAGCATCTTCTGTATTATCAGTCTGTCACTGGATCTGGAGAAGCCTCTGACTAAAGACACTGTTGTTGTTTAACAATCTGATGAAGATGATTCTCACTGTTATTCATAATCCTCTTCACTTTATAAAGAATTCTTCTGTTTTGAAATCATCT